CTCTTCCGATCTAGGGAGAGCAACAGAGGAGGGATCGCTCTCCCAGGACGGACAGACCATACTCACAGTGAGAATGCTAANCCGCTTTTCTTCTTCCCGCTTTTCTTCTTCCCGCTTTTCTTGTTGCTCTTTTATTTCTTTTTCCTTCTCCAACCTGTCTCCTTCTTCCTTTGCTTCCCTCTCTAGTTTTGGAGGGAAGCAAAGGAAGAAGGAGACAGGTTGGAGAAGGAAAAAGAAATAAAAGAGCAACAAGAAAAGCGGGAAGAAGAAAAGCGGGAAGAAGAAAAGCGGGAAGTAGAAAAGCAGGAAGTAGAAAAGCAGGAAGTAGAAAAGCGGGAAGAAGAAAAGCGGGAAGTAGAAAAGCAGGAAGAAGAAAAGCAGGAAGTAGAACAGCAGGAAGAAGAACAGCAGGAAGTAGAAAATCAGGAAGTAGAAAATCAGGAAGTAGAAAATCAGGAAGTAGAAAAGCAGGAAGTAGAAAAGCGGTCCAAAACCCCAGCGAGAAGCCGAAGAGCCACCAGAGCAACGGCTGCTGCCCCGCCGCCTTCAGCAGAAGCAGAAGCAGACTCCATGTGTGCCAATGACGACGTCCCAGCCAGGAGAACCAGGTCTCGCTCCAACTCTTCCAACTCCGTCAGCTCAGAGAGGTCCGCTTCAAGTGTGAGCACCCGGGGGGGCCGGGGGGCCAAGAGGGGCAGCAGTGCACCCCCCCCAGCAGCCAGCACCAGAGGTACCAACAGGAGGAGGAGGAACACGGCGTCAACACAACAGGACACGAATGATGCTCCTCTTCCTCCTCCTCTTCCTCCAGGAACTCAGTCCAGGTCCACGGTGTCCATCTGCAGCGTGAGCTCTCAGAGCAGAGGAGGAAGAGGAGGAGGAGGAAGAGGAGGAGGCAGGCAGCGAGGAAGAGGAAGAAAAACTGAGCCCATCCCTGCTATCAATATTCAGAGTGAACAAACAGTGGATCCCACCCCTGCAGCGAGAGGCAGGGGGAGCAGGAGAGGGGGAGAGCCGCTTCCCCAGGAGGACGGAACTGAGAAGGCAGACCCTCAGCAGGCCCCCACCACAAGAGGGCGACGGAGAGCTAATGCCTCAGAGCCTCATGCTGCAGAAAAGCAAGACGACTCAAGTCAGGAGTGTGCCAGCGGAGAATCACCTCTGCCTACAAGGACTCTGAGGGGAAGAGCGGTGAAGGGTGAGACTGTGGAGGCACCAGTAGCCCCTGCAGTCAGTGAGGGAGACAAAGAGAAGAGAAAAGGGAGAAAAAGGGAGGCAAATACAGGAGAGGCCTCCAGCAGCAGCCACAAAGCGTTCCAAGGGAAGCAGAAAGCCCACACGCCAGAGGAAGCAGGTGAAACAAACCATGAGACTCCAGTGCCAGCTAAGAGAAGAGGGAGAGCTTCCACCGCTCAAGCAAACAAGATGGCAGGTGTTTCCTCCGCTAAAGTGGAGGGAAGTGGAGAGAGTGAGGCAGTGGAGGAGGTACCTGTGAAGAAGAGAGGCAGAGGGCGGCCATCAGTGGCTCAGAAAAAGATGAAGGAGGAGGAGGAGGAGGAAGACAGTGGATTCTCTGTCGACCATGTGGAGGCATCAGAGGTGACTTCATTATTACGTATTGGAAATGTTAAGGTCTCAGAAGTGTTTTTTCTTTGAGACACAAATACATTAGTGTAGGGCTGCTCGATTATGGCAAAAATCATAATCTCTAATATTTGGGTCAATAATTGTAATTGCGATTATTCATTGACTTTGAAAACATCCATTTATTGGAGAAAAACAATTTGACCAGTATGTTTTTAACTGCCAAAGGCACAC